GACTGCTATTTGGTGTTAGGAGTTAGCTCGAAGGCCAGAGCTGATATAAGAACTCTTCTACACAGCAAATATTTTGCTCAGCAAACTGTCTTAAATTTACTCATATTGCCCATCCAAGTTGATCAACTCAGCTTGTCAAGGTAGGTGCAATTCTTGTGGGGTCCCATAGTATAGCACCTGGCTTGGATTGCTGTAGTTCTTTTATTGATGTGTATGTATGCGGGTGTGGGTGTGTACATGTGCGTGTACATTGCATATGTATCTGTGTGTTTTCAAACCAGCTACATCTTAGAGTCATTGAATGCATTCACAAATTGCTGTTCAAGAGAAAGGAGTCAGTGCAAAGTATCAACCCTCTCTTTTTCCATTTCTCTTCCTGTGCTATGGGAAGGTAAAAGACTCTGTTTCTCTTTAGTAAATTTCTTGGTTGTCTTCATATATGGACCAAGAACTGTCACATCATCCCTTGCCTTAGTGTGTGTATGTGTATGTGTATATGCCTAAATTGGGAGACCATGAGTTCTAGTCCTGTCTTAGGCACCCAGCTACGTGACCTTGGATCAATCACTCTCTCTCAGCCCTAGAAAGGAGGCCATGGCAAACCATTTCTAAAAAACGTTGCCAAGAAACTACAAGAACTTGTCCAGGCAGTTGCCAGCAGTCAGTACTGACTCAAAGAAACAAATACAAATACAGTCTGTTTGTATTTGTGTATATGTTTGTGCATGAGTGTACACATAAGTGCATACACAAACAGTTAAGGGTGGGTGGACCAAGCCTTGTGAATCAGCTGTTGGAAAAGTAAGAGACTTTATTCCATTTAGCACCAAAAACCTTCTAAGAATAGCTGGCCAAGTTCCAACTCTATTAAAAAAGATACAGTGCACCAACTTCTCTATGTAGCCTACTATTCAGAACTACACAATCCACATAACAGCCTAGGACTGATGAAGGATTCCTCTTGCTCTTATCATTCCTGCTTATTCTGATGTATGGAGATGAGGAGGAGAGTAAGCTTTTAGTAAAAAATAATTTGAAAGGTATCAATGGAAGACTTAGTCCAAAACAGCAATAGCGCGTCTTAGACTTATATACTGCTTCATAGTGCTTTACAGCCCTCTACAGCAATAGCACGTCTTAGACTTATATACTGCTTCATAATGCTTTACAGCCCTCTTTAAATAGTTTACAGTGTCAGCATATTGCCCCCAACAATTTGGGTACTCATTTTACCAACCTCAAAGGATGGAACGCTGAGTTAGCCTTGAGCCAATCAGGATCGAAACAGCATAGTAATGATTTTATCCATTGCCTTTTTCTGATATTGTTTGACTTAACCTCCTGATTTATCAATACAAATGGAATGGAATACAATACAATACAATACAATGGAATAAATACAATACAATACAATACAATTATTTATTGGCCAAGTGTGATTAGACACACAAGGAATTTGTCTTCGGTACATAAGCTCTAGCCCTAGAATTCCTTGGTTTTCACCCAGGTGGCGCAGCAGTTAGAGTGCAGTACTGCAGGCCACTTTAGCTGACTGTGTTCAGCAGGTCAGCGGTTCAAATCTCACCATCAAGGTTGACTCAGCCTTCCATCCTTCCGGGGTAGGTAAAATGAGGACCCAGATTGTTGGGGGCAATGTAAATATATATATCTATACATTGCTTACTGGTGTACACCGCTTAGAGAGTGCTTGCACTTAAAGCGGTATATAAGTCTCATAAATAAATAAATAAATAAATAAATAATGAAGCTTACTGAAGGAAACAAGGCTGTTGAAACAGTATAAGGTTTGTCAATATTTGCTCAAAGAACTGTTTGGAGAAGCTGGAGGTTGTTTATTGGAAAATTCTCATTTTAGCTATCATTATGAAGAATGAAATACAACAGCTTTTCTTTTGGTTTAAAACAAATTGGCATCGGCTGACTTTTCTTTGCTCTCTGCTAGGAAGAATCAAAAAGGATTGTTCTACTTAGATACTATTCCCTTGACTTCCACTTTAAAATGCTGAGCTTTTCATTCTTATGCTAGCTATTTTCTACTGCCAAGCTATATCTCTCTAGCTCATATTTCAAGAGAAGTACTTATCAGCAAGTGGCAACTAGCACTGAACAAATTTTCCAATACACATTTAAGCAAGCTTTTTCTACTTACTTTTTCTCTCCAGTTTTCCCCAACTCAAGTACCAGATTACAACTCTCATCATTCTCAGCTGAGCAATGACAATTTGTTACACAAATACTCAGATAAAATGTCATCTCCCCTACCCAAAGAAGAAATTAATGCCAATAGTTTAAAGACTTTTATAAAAGGAAAGCTTTGCCAAATAAGTGCAGAGAATCCTAGTCAACAAATGCTTATCTTTAAAAGGAAACACATTGGAAATATAGTAATTCCTGCTGTCTTTTATCCCTTTGATATCTATTTCTGTTTTCTTTTCTTTTTTTAATCTCACAAATTACTGCAGTATTTAAATCTTTTTCGGCTCACTAGTCAGAATGGTCTCTGAAAAAGAAATTATGTGTAGAAAGGGAGGAGGGGTTGGACTTAATATGTTTGGAACATCATACACCATCATATTGCCTTGTATTTTTAGTATATGTCACAAGTTAACTGAAACTTGCAATTATATATTTTGAAATCATGCTATTATTGGATGATTTTTGAAGATATTTCAGTTTTATGTGCAAAATTGCAGTAAGTAAATAAATTGGCATAAAACAAATCAGAGCACAGCACAGCAAGGCAGATCCTTGTTTGGAATAACAAATGAAACAATTGGATAATTTCTCCTGCAAGATACCTGCCAATATAGAAATATTTGCAAAACAATTTCTTCTCTCACAATACATTTGACAATTGATGGGTGTCTAAATCTGTGCTACTGGTATAATGAAAAGCACAGCACCTGTATGTTACAAAGGTCCAACTGTTGGGATTCTCTCTACAATGGCTCTTCTGTACACAAGAATTATATCTGTAATGTGTACTACCTTCCTCCCTTCTAATAGGTTGAGTCAATACATGGCCATCCCAAGAAGAAAAATACTAAATCACACAGTCAGCAAAATCAGGTGGATGCAGTCCTAAAGCTGAACCACTTCAAAACAAAAATGAAATACCACATATTTTAAAGCTCCTGAGCACCAAAAAAAACAATCTGCTACAAAGATGATCTTTTTGTTCTATATTTTGCCAAACATGCAATTATGCTCCTCAGTTAATCTTAAATCAAACCAGTTTAGACCACTTCACAGAGATTGTTTTTATTCTTACAATCTTTTATATTATTTTAAACATTATTGTACTAGCAAAGCAAAATATAAATTGTAGAAATTAAAAAGAAATGTAAAAATGTGTTTTAATCCTGCCCATGCCATTGTAGACTTCCCCAAATTAGTGGGCAAAGTTTGGAATGAAACTTTAAGCATATTTAGCTGAGCAGAATTACAGTGCTCTGTGCACAGGAAACTATGATTGATTGTAGTGTAGTTCTTATGGTTTTTTTCCTGTCAGCACAAGCAATAAAGGTGAGGGAACATGGCCAGAGTAGACATCCTGCTCATTCCCCTAGTGAAAAATGTTAACAATCACTATTCTGATGGATCATGAAAGTACACCTGAAATAAAAGAAACCATACCTGCAGGAGGGTGATTTGGCTTCGTGCCCTACAGGCTTCCTTAATTGCCTCCCTGAGTTCCAGAAAACAGGAATAAAAGATATTATGGGGAAAGTTTGGGGCAGGTCTAACAAGAACTATGTAAGGAGGAAGAAAAATGAAATGTGTGAACAGCTGAGCATCAAATGAGGTATATTTGTAATAAGATACAGAATACAGAATAATAGTGGGAAAAGACCTTGGAGGGATTCTAGTTCAACCCCCTACTCAAATAGGAGACCCTATACCATTCTGGACAAAAGGCTGTCCAATCTCTTCTTAAAAACCTCCAGTGATGGAGCACCCTCAGTTTCTGGCACCAAGCCATTCCACTGATTAATTAATTGTCCAATTGTATTAATTTGATCCAAAGGACCTTTTCATATAATGTGAAAGGAAGACTATATATTCCAAACAAATGATCAGTAGTAATGAAGTCAAGAAATAACTGGGGAGCTATACAGCAGAGATATCTTCTTTCTAGTCTGTCATAAAACAATCTTTCTTTTAGTTCCATGTCCTTGAAGTTTCTGCTCTTATCTAATTTATGATAATAGAACTGAGTTGCATTTCTGGAAGATAGAGATTACAGTCATGCCTGACCTTTCCTCAAATTTTAGATGAACTCCAAATCTTGTATTCATTTTATATGTTATTCCAAAGCAAAAAACAGCTGTGGTGTAATAAATACATACTTGAATAAGTATAAGTATTAATTCTATTCGAAATTTGGCCCACATGTGAAAACCAGTGTAGTAGAATTGGTATCTGTAAACCTTTTTGGTTGTTATGTATACATTCCTTACATCTTCTACAAATCTTTGCTGGAGACAGCATATGGCAGGACTTGCCTCTCCTGAAATATCAGAATGTATTTTCCTGTCTTCTGTTGCAGATTAATTAGCATATGAGGCTTTGGGGAGAGTTTCTGACAGCATATTTTTAAAAATAAAAGTAACTGCAGTTTTCCTAGTAGGATAGTTTTTGCCAAGACGTAAGCCAAGTCTGGAGGAAACTTGGCTTCTCCAAGAATTGTATGAGGCCCAAAGATGTTATTGAAGATAAATATTTTTAATTTGAATATGTAAATTACCTTTTGGAAAACTCCAAAAAGTAGTGCCAGCATGCCAGAATTTTGTAGCTTTTGAAATTATGGGTACACACACTTGATGTGAGTGGCTATATGCATCTCTCTTCCTGCTCTCAGTTAATAGTGCTGCCACATTAATGGTGTTTAATGAAGTTAATATATCTTTTCCCATGTTTATTTATGTAAATAATGTCTCATGTTTATTGATGTATGTCATATATATCTTGTCTTTCAGGGAAACAACTTCCATTCCAACTTTACTCCAAGTAGTGCCAGAATCTGCATCGAACCATGATTCCAGCACACTGATGGTACATGTGATAACATTGTTGTGCAAATTCAGACATTACATACTTATACCCAGAACTCCTGATGCAAGTATATCAGGAGTGGCATTTGAATGATGACATTGCTGTGTATGTGTGCTATTTTCTCCATCTGTTAACTCCCAGGCTAGGTAGCACAGAGCAATTTAAAACATTTTTAAAAGAAAAAACAATTTAAACAAATCAGAATAACTACAGTACTTCTCTGTAATCTGAATCAGGAGAAGCTCTACGTGTTAAGAATGCAAATTTGGATACAGTGGTGGGGTGGATGAGGGAGACCTAATAAAATGAGATTGAATTTTGATATGGTAGAAATCTGTAGTAGGGTACTAGGGACATTATCTGAGGATTGCACATCCTCAGAAAAAAGCCTCACAGGTACTGTTCATAATTTGGGGTGGGAGAATATGTGTCCTCTGATTAGCTTTATCAGCCTGATTGGAATGTAAATGTGGCCTCGTAAGATAGGCAGAGCCTAGCTCCTTCATATAAGCAACTCTTGTACAGATTATTGAAATATGCTTTATGTAGAATTGTCCATGTCCTTAGTTGAGATGCTTTAACTGGTACAGAAAGTGGTGACCATGGTCCTGAATGGAACACCCTTGTGTGCACATTGCTAAAGTACTTGCATTGATTGCCATTTAGCTACTGAACCAAGCTCTAGCTTTTGATTTTAATATATAGAGCAGTGATGGCGAACCTTTTAGAGACCGAGTGCCCAAACTGCAACCCAAAACCCACTTATGCATTGTCGGGTACCGGGTGGGTGTGGCCCATTGGGTGGGCATGGCTGCTGTGGAAACAGCAGACTGGGTGGGACTAAAAAGTTCAATCAATCAATTCCAACTTTGGAAGATCTTTTTTTTTCCTGCGAGAAGTTGAAATTGACTGATTGATTGAACCTTTTTTTGTGTACATGGCGGCAGAGGCCTAAAACAATAAGGTTTTATAAAACCCAGCTGAAGGCCTAGGACTGTGGTGATGGTACGCGTGCCCACAGAGAGGGCTCTGTGTGCCACCTCTGGCACCTGTGCCATAGGTTCGCCACCACTTATATAGAGCCTTAAATTATTTGGGATCAGAAAGGCTCCCTTTGTAGTTTCTGTAAGGCAGACAAATTTCTAGGAGCAAACACTGGGATATATTAATTTGAATAAATTGAGATATTTATTTCTCAATGGTGCTGGACAAAAATTCTGAAAAGGAAGACAGACAGACAGGCAGAGGGAATTAATATTTTAAATGGCTCTTTTGTAATGAAGCAATTTTCAGTAATTCTAAACATTTTCAGTTGTGTGCTTATATTTTGTGTAGAATATTTTGAGGTCAAATTAAGTTAAAGGATAATTAATAAGCAATAGATCCTTCTACCTATCAGTTGGAAAATGGGCAAGAATTCCATTCCAGCAAGAGGCACTCTCCAAATTGTTAAATGAAAGACAACCTCTGCATTATCAAGGAAGATTGAGTATCTGCCACCATTGCCCACTTTGTCTCGAGGAGTCAGCCAAGAGTTACCAGATCTGGGCTGCAAAATTCTGGAGAGCAAAAAAGAATTACATTTGACTACGCTGGATGGAAATGATGTTTTTTCACACAAATAGGAAATATATCATGTGATCTTAAATGTGATCCTAACTGGAAGGAAAATGAAATTTCAGGCGATTCATCCCTTTCAAGCCCTTACATTTCCTTGCCATCAGGGCAAGAGATTCAAGATTCTCTCCCACTCTTTATTGTTCTTTCTTCTCTGTTCTATCATTGAACTCAATGGAAGGAAAATTACCATGCCAGCCTGCTATATTAATTACTAAGCTTGTGCCAGTTTCATCAAAGGAGAGAGAGGGACCTTGGCTCCATCCTAACCCTTGTGTCAGAATCCAATTATATTTCATCTTTAATTATCAAATATAGAAACTCCCAATTCGGCCTTCTTTGGATTCTGCCATAAGAGGGAGAGAAGGGGGAGAACAAAGGGGCTTTATGGCCCTCACTTCCTTCAGTACACTTCAAAGAGCTGAATGCTGAATGTGTGTTTATTGTAACCTCAAAGCGTTAGCATACCAAAGAAGGGTATTTGCCTTTCATGTAGTTATCTGAAGTCTCCATCCAGACGGAAGAAAGAAGAAAAGGGGTGGAATTGTGATACTTGAAACTATCACTGGAAGGGGGGTTGATTGGGTGGGACTACTGGGGAACCCCTTAAAACCTTGAATGGAAGAGCTTGAACCCCAGTCCTGTCTAGCATGCCTGCAACCATTTTCTCTTAATAAAGGATTCCTGTTGGAAGAATTATTCCAAGAGTTCTGTCTTCTTAAGATGCAAAGTGGGGTGGGTCCTTACATTAGACAGGACTTGCAAAATTAATCCACCTGGAAGGGAGACCCTTGCCGGGGGATTTTGCAAAACATTTACCATGTCAGACAATGGAGAAAGAGAGGGGGAAAACTCCCTGGAAAGAGAGCCGCTGACCCAGTTGGAACCTTGCCAGATGTTGGGATCCGAGAGGCCAGATTCCTCAGGAGAAGAAGTGGTGGAGACACAGGACCACAAGCCTCGCTGGTCGATGGACGTTGGAAAGAAAAGTGAGTGGAGAAAGGAATTAAGAAAGGTGACTCTGAGACGGGGGACCAAGCAACCAGAATGGAAGCAGGAGATGGAGAAATCCCTGCACGCAAGTGAAGAGGGAGGAAGCTGGGTACCGTACTCAGACTGGATCCTAGAGAAAGCTATTGACCTGATGAAGAGAACTCTCAGCTCCCTAGGAGAGGAGAATACTGAGCCCTACGGCCGCCCCAGTTCCTGGAGCCACAAAGGGAGAGACACCGAGGGGGACGTGGAACCTGCAACCCCAGGGACATCTACTGATCCAGGAGCCCCCACCCCCTACCGGACCACAGATGGCAATCTGGACTGAAGACACTACCACCCACAACGGAGGCACCGATCCATTCCAAGACGTCCACCGTTGGAGGTGAAATTCAAAGGGGAGCCAACACGCTTGGGGTTTTTCCTAACCCAAGTCCTCAGCTACATGGAGGAATATGGGCAGGACATTCCCAGCGACAAAGCCCGCATCCAGATCGTGCAATCTGCCCTGGATGGACCAGCTGCGGATTGGGTAGTGAACTTGCATGACTCCAATGTCCCAGAACTCAGTAACTTCAACCATTTCATGTCCTCTTTGAGAAGATGATTTGAAGACCCCCTGGCTGATCGCAAAGCTCATGAAAGAATAACAACGATGAGGCAAGGCAAACGCCCAGTGGCCGAGTATACACAAGAATTCCGGGCCATTGCCAGCAAACTGAATTGGCCAGAAGACATCCTCCTTGGCCATTTCAAAGACGGACTAAACTATGATCTATATGATGCTTGCCTGCCCCGAGGGGACCCACATCGACTTGAGGAATGGTACGTCTTGGCAGAGGAAGCAGAGATCGACATATTGAAGAGGCACCGCCGAAGAAAACAATGGAGCCGCCCCCCGCCTGAGCTGACACACCAACCAGTGAAACCATTGGCTCCAGCCAAGAAGCAAATGGGGTGTTTCAAGTGCGGAAGAGAAGGGCATCGAGCTGTAGAATGCCGCTCAAAGGCCCCCCAGCACAACCCAGACAGATCCCCAATCAACAAACCCGGAAAGTATTCAGCTAAGCCAAAAGAAACGGCCATGAGAATGATGGAAATTGCAGAAACCCCCACCTCTGCTCACCAAGGGGAAAGAACTCCAGCCTACACCACAGGGACGGTGGATGCCTCAGATGACAGCTCGGAGGGCGAACCCCTGGTAAGTGGATGCATCACACCCATCTTCAAAACAGTGACTATATTAATCCCCCCCATGCCCGAAGCTGTGAAGGTGAAAGCCTTAATAGACTCTGGCTGCACCCGCTGCCTCATTAGCCCAACACTAGTGGGGAATCTGGGCATCCCATCCAGGAGACTGGAACAACCAATCTCATTTGGCCAGCTAGATGGATCCATAGCAGGGGGGGTGCCAGCTACCCTAGCCACTCTGCCAATACACCTCTCCCTGGGCAACCATGAAGAGGACCTAACGTTTGTGGTGACCCCAGGTATGGAATGCCCAATGATTCTAGGATGGAATGGTTGAAAAAATGGAACCCCTGGGTAAATTGGAGGATGACAGAAATCAAATTCCCGAAGGGGACCTATGGACTTAAAACCCCAAGGGAGGCTACCAGAATCAAGAATAGAAAAAGCATCCATAGGAGAGGAAAAGAGATTAACAGAAATACCAGAGGAATATAGGGACCTTGCTGAAGTCTTCAGTGAGGAGAGGGCGATGAGCTTCCCCCCCCGACCCACAGACTGTACCATTGAATTCAAGCCTGGGGCAAAACTCCGAAGCCCAGATTATACTCCATGAGCCCAAAGGAGAAGGAGGAAATGAAAGATTTATAAAAAAAAACCTGGAGAGAGGTTTCATTGAGCCAGCCAAGCCTAAAGTGGCTGCCCCGGTCCTTTTTAGAGAGAAGAAGGATGGCTCTTTACGTTTATGCGTGGATTATAGGGCCCTGAATACAATCAGTGAAAGCAACCTATACCCGCTGCCCCTCATGAAAGACATGCTGTCACACCTATCGAAAGGGAAATTTTTTTCTAAACTAGACCTAAGGGAAGCTTACTATCGCGTGAGAATCAAGGAAGGGGACGAATGGAAGACTGCATTTAACTGCCCCATGGGGTGCTATCAATTCAAAGTCTTGCCATTTGGATTACAAGGGGGCCCTGCAGTCTTTATGCAATTAATCAATGACGTTCTAAGGGAGCACCTGTTTAAGGGGGTCCTTGTTTACTTGGACGACATTCTTATCTTTACCGAAACAAAAGAAGAACACGTCAAACTTGTCAGAGCGGTTTTAAAGAAGCTGCGAGCCGCTCACCTATATGCCAAACTCTCAAAATGCGAATTCCACCAGGAAAGGATAGACTACCTAGGCTATCGCATATCC